TAAGTATTGCCACATGTGTAGGTCCCTATAGCCGTTTAACCTATCATAGTTAGGCCTACCTAGTTGTCCATAGGTGGGGAATCCTAAAAGCTCATTGACTTCCCTCACCGTGAGGGTATGACGCTCACCAAAACAGTTAAATGAAACGTCCCTAGGTGTATGTCCGTCGGGCCTACGACGGACCTCTATGGTAGAAAGGAACTCATAGGTAATGTTAGAGTATGTGTGGGCGTGCTTTTCAAGGAATCCATTCCACCCTAACCGGCTAAAGATTCTATGGACTTCATTGCCCATACCTAAGGTGGCTATGGCTTCTTGATCAAAAAATCTAGTTGGGACTATTGATCGGGTTTGAATCCTAAGGAAATTTCTCATATACTCTTCGTTGGCCCCGAAATTTATCCCTAAAGTTTCAATGGGAGGAATGCGGGCAAGTGGTTGTGGAGGTGGTTGGTTTCTCAAGCCCTTGGCGGAGGTGTTTCTGGGACGGTTTCTTCTAGGATTTGAGGAAGAGGCCATGGTTGACAATTCCACAACAATGTATGCAATTAAATCACAAAGAAACAACCAATTTATACTATCACCTATATGGGGTTTTCACAAACTCACAACAATCAACAAGATGCAAAAATAATTTCACAACTACACTAACACCAATTTTCAATCACAATAATCAAAGCAAAATAGACAAACCAATCACAACTATCTCACTAAAGTAATTTCTATGAACAATTTTTGCAAATTAAACATAAAAACTTAGAGAGAGAAAATGCATGAAAAGAGAGTACCCAAGGTGTGGTGGGTGTTCAATACCCGCAATTGATCCTCAATGGTAGCTAGCAACACCTTAGAAGCCTATCCTTGCCTCCCAATTTCTCCAAAAAGTTCAAAATCAAAAACCCCCAAATTGATTTCAACCTAGGGTTTGCTCAAAAATTTTGCAAAAATTGGGGTTTGAATTGGTTTTTGATGTTAATGAAGTGTGTAGTTGGAGTAGAAGAGGTGGAAACTTGAAGATCTTGGTGGATTTGTGAGTGGAGGTCAGGAATTTAGGGAGTTTGGGCGAATTTGGAGTTGAGGGAAAGTGAAGAATGCTCGAAAATTTTGAGAAGTTAAAAGTTGAGAATGAAAGAAAGGGGCATGCCTGTGCCTTCTTATTTTCGAGGGAGGCACGGACGTGCCTCTTTCAAGAAAACAGTTCTGAACTTTCTGCCTCAGACACACGGACGTGCCTCTGAGTAGGCACGGACGTACCTAATTATTATTTTTTTTTTTTGTCGAACTGAGGCACGGACGTGCCTTAATTCGATGTTGCAAACCTCAACTCTCTGCCTTTGAGGCACGGACGTGCCTCAAAGGCATGGCCTTTGCTAGGCATGGCCGTGCTTCTTCAGTGAAACCCTCCTCCGTATTTTTGGCTCTTTTCACCTAATTTAAGAGAAGAAAAACAAACACAAATTAGAACACAAAAGATTCACACCTAAAATCAAGAATGAATCAATAAAAAAATAGAAAAAGAAAAGTGGAAACTCGAGAATGGGTTGCCTCCCATTTAGCGCTTGTTTATAAGGTCTTCAGCTCGACCGTAGTGATTCTCAAGAGCTCGGTGATGGGGACGAGAGTGTGATGTCCACCCCCTCATCGATGGGATCACCAACTCGGTAGTGCTTCACTCTCTGTCCATTGACCTTGAAGTGTTCTCCTCTTGTGTTTTCCAACTCAATAGTGCCGTAGGGGAAGACCTTTTTTATCTTGAATGGCCCCGACCACCTAGACTGAAGCTTACCTGGGAATAGTCTCAACCTAGAGTTGAAAAGAAGGACTTGATCCCCCTCTTTGAACTCTCTTCTCACAAGATTTTTGTCATGCCACCTTTTTGTTTTCTCCTTATACAACCTTGAACTCTCATAGGCTTCAAAACGAAGCTCATCTAATTCATTGAGTTGTAACAGTCTATTCTCTCCCGCCGCCTTAGCATCAAAATTCAAGCTTTTTATGGCCCAGAATGCTCGGTGTTCTAGCTCAACGGGAAGATGACATGCTTTTCCGTAGACAAGTCTATATGGGGTTGTTCCGATTGGTGTTTTGAAGGTCGTTCGGTACGCCCATAGTGCGTCATCTAGCTTCACAGACCAATCCTTCCTTGTTCGTGCAACAGTTTTCTCGATAATGGACTTGATCTCTCGATTTGACACTTCAACTTGACCACTAGTCTGTGGGTGATAGCCAATTCCAATCCTATGTTGCACTCCATATTTCTTCAACATTGCTTCAAATCGATGCTCCAGAAAATGTGTTCCCCTGTCACTAATCAACACACGTGGTAAACCAAAACGAGGGAAAATAACTTTCTTCAAAAACTTACTTACCACACGAGCATCATTGGTTGGAGTAGCAATTGCTTCCACCCACTTTGAGACATAATCAACGGCTAGCAAGATATAACGGTTGCCATAGGAGGAGGAAAACGGACCCATGAAATCTATCCCCTACACATCAAACAACTCGACCTCGAGTATGTTGTTAAGTGGCATCTCGTTCTTCTTAGAAATTGTGCCCGTCCGTTGACATCTATCGCAAGCCTTGACATAGGAATATGTATCCTTGAACATCGTAGGCCAATAAAATCCGCATTTCAAGATCTTTGCAATTGTCTTCGAGGGGCCTGCATGTCCACCACAGGGTAAGTCATGGCAATGTGAAATAATATTATACCTTAATTTCTGGAACACATCGTCAGATCATGGTATCCGCGCATTGCTTGTACAGGAACGGATCGTCCCAGAAATATCTCTTTACCTCAGAAAGGAATTTCTTCCTTTGTTGAGAAGAGTAGCCATGAGGCATTTTACCTGTAGATAGGAAATTAGCCAAGTTAGCAAACCATGGTGATTCAGTCTGTAATAAAACTAGTAAGTGTTCTGCAGGATGAGAATCATCAATTGGAATATCATCTCCATCCTCAGGGTCAAGGAGAAGACGGGAAAGATGGTCTGCAACAACATTCTCCGTTCCCTTGGTATCCTTGATCTCGATGTCATAATCCTGTAGTTGAAGAATCCATCGAATCAACCTAGGCTTGACATGGGTTTTGGTCATCAAGTACCTCAATGCTGCATGATCTGTATGAATAATGACCTTAGAACCAACCAAATAAGAATGGAACTTGTCAATTGCATATATTACAGCTAGCATCTCTTTTTCTGTTGTGGCATAATTCATTTGAGCAGAACTCAAAGTTTTGCTAGCATAGTATATGGCATGAAGCTTCTTCTCCTTCCTTTGCCCCAACACGGCTCCTATTGCGTAATCACTAGCATCGCACATGATTTCGAACGGCAGACTCCAATCTGGGGGTTGTATGACAAGAGCAGAGATCAAGGCTTCCTTTAACCTGTTAAAAGCTTCAAGACAAGCATAAAAAAAAACAAAAGGAACATCCTTAGCTAAGAGCTCAGTTAGAGGTCGAGCAATTTTTGAAAAATCCTTAATGAAACGCCGGTAAAAACCTGCATGACCAAGGAAGCTTCAAACTCCTTTTACAGAGTTTGGTGGTGGTAGGCGCTCTATGACCTCTATTTTGGCTCTATCTACTTCAATACCCTTATTGGATACAACATGGCCTAAAACAATTCCTTGTTGCACCATAAAATGGCATTTTTCCCAGTTTAAAATCAGATTGCCTTCTTTACATCTTTGGAGTACCTTTTTCAGATTTTCAAGGCATACATCAAAGGTTGCTCCATAGACAGAGAAATCATCCATAAATACTTCCATAGAGTTTTCTATGAGTCTTGAGAAAATTGCCATCATACATCTTTGAAAAGTGGCAGGGGCATTACATAGTCCAAATGGCATCCTGCGATATGCAAAGGTGCCATATGGACATGTGAAAGTAGTCTTTTCCTGGTCACAGGGACGGATGGGAATTTGAAAGAAACCAGAATATCCATCCAAGTAACAGAAAAAGGAATGCTTTTCCAACCTTTCAAGCATTTGATCAATAAAGGGTAGGGGGAAATGATCCTTCAGGGTGGCCTTATTCAATTTTCTATAATCTATACACATTCGCCACCCTGTAACAGTCCTAGTGGCGATTGGCTCACCCTTGTCATTCTTGACAACGGTCATACCTCCCTTCTTTGGTACTACTTGTACAGGGCTAACCCACTTACAATCAGAGATAGGGTAGATTATTCCTGCAGCAAGCAATTTTATAACCTCTTTTTTTCACTACCTCCATCATATTTGGATTAAGTCTTCTTTGAGGTTCTACAGAAGAGGCATGGTCGTTTTCAAGAATGATCTAATGCATGCAGAATGAAGGATTAATACCCTTGATATCATCAATGGTGTACCCAATAACACTTTTATATGTTTTCAGAACATTGAGCAGTTGCTCCAATTCTGTGTCCTTGAGTGCAGCATTAACAATAACAGGATATGAATTGTTTGGACCAAGATATGCATACTTTAAGTTAGAGGGGAGGGGTTTCAACTCTACCTCGGGAGGCTTAGTACTCTCCCCAATATTCATTACACTCAGTGTCTCTCTGATTGGATTCATGTTCGGGTTGGCCTTTGCTTCTTCAAGCATCCTGACATACTCTCTTGATTCCCAATCTCCATCATCATCTTCCTTCCCTATTAGCACTTGTTCAAGGGCATCATCCTTTTGATTCAGGGGAAGTTGCTCACCTTCCAACTCATCAAGCACATCAACCTGACAAACAGTGTCTCCCATAGAGGGAGCAGCCATGACATTCAAAAGTGAGTATTCCAATTTCTCATCACCTGCTTCAAAAGTAATTTTACCTTTCTTCATGTCAATAATTGCACTTGCAGTAGCTAAGAAAGGTCTACCAAGTATAATTGGAACATTCACATCTTCTTCCATTTCCATCACAACAAAATCACAGGGTATGAAAAACTTAATTACCTACTCAAAGAGGTACATCCTCAAGTACACCCAAAGGAAACTTCACTGACCTGTCTGCAAGTTACAGAGATATGCGTGTGGGTTTGAGTTCACCCATTTGCAGCTTCTTGCATGTGGACAGTGGAATGAGGTTCACACTTGCACCAAGATCGCACAATGCCCTGTTAATTTTGATATCCCCAAGCTTCACTGGAATCGAATAGCTACCTGGATCTCCTAATTTCTTAGGGAGAGTGTTCTGCAAAATAGCACTGCACTCTGCATTCAAAGCAACTGTAGTATTCTCTTCTAACTTTTTCTTGTTAGATAGCATATCTTTTAAAAATTTTGCATAGGAAGGCATCTCAGATATGACATCTAAAAATGGAATATTTATATGAAGCTTTTTAAGAATATCAAGAAACTTACTGAACTTTTTCTCCAGTTTAGCTTGGGCTAATCTTTGAGGAAAAGGAACTTTAGGCACATACGGGGCAAGTGGCTTTGGAGTTGCTTCCTTTGATTCATCCTCGACCTTAGCATTGTCAATTTCTTTCTCACTTGCACCTACTTCTTCAACGACCTCCTGTGATGGCTCCTTGGTAGGAGGATCTTCCAATTGCTTTCCACTCCTCAAAGTAACAACATTCATGTGGCCTTTTTGAGGTTGTTCTGTCTGGCCCAAAAAAGTCCTTGGAGTCTTTAAAGATTGGCTAACTTGATTGGCAAGTTGGCTTATTTGGTTTTCCATGAGTTTACTCTGGGCTTGCAACTGTTGGATGGAGCTACTTTGGTGTTGGATGGCACTATTTGTTGCGGTTATAAAGCTCTCCATCATTACCTCAAGGCTGGATTTTTGGGGTTGTGGTTGCACTGGTTGTTGGTTCATTGGTGGTCTTTGTTGGAAGCCAGGTGGTGGTTGGTTGTAGTTGTTGGGTGAGGTGGTGGTGGATTTTGCTGTGCTTGGGTGTTCTTGTATGAGAAGTTGGGGTGGTTTTTCCATCCTTCATTATAGGTGTTGGAGTAGGGGTCATAAGGCCTTTTGGGGTTTGAGGAGTAGAAAGCATTGGCCTGCTCAATTGACATCTCACTTGAATTCTGCGAATTTTGCGGGCAATCGGGTGCAATATGACCCTGCACACTACACAATTGACACAACTCCTGTAGAAGCTCCAGCTTGGAACTTATCAAACCTGCTTGTTAGTGCCTGCACAGAACTGGTTAGCATAGTCAAGGCATCAACATCAATTTTACCTCCTTTTTTCACAGTATGTCGGCCTCCTGGATGATAATTATCATTGGCCGCCATCTTCTCTATGAGCTCCCTTGCCTCAGTGGGGTTCTTTGTCAAGAGAGAGCCTCCTGACGCAGCATCAATATAGATCCGGAACTAATGAGTCATTCCATTATAAAATGTCTGCATTAATATCCACTCTGGAATGCCATGATGAGGGCATTGTCTCTGCAGCCTCTTAAACCTTCTCCAAGCCTCATAAAGAGACTCGTCATCTGACTATCGAAAGGTTGATAGCTCGTTCCTCAACCTAGCAGTCTTCTCCTATCCTAAAAACTTCACTAAGAAGGCCTTCGCAAGCTTGTCCCAAGTATCGAACGAGCCAGCGCCTTCATCTCTCAACCACTCCTTTGCCCTATCCCGTAATGAGAAAGGGAAAAGGCGTAGTCTGATCGCGTCATCTGTAACACCATTCATCTTCATAGTATCACATTTCTCCAAAAAACTATCAATATGACTTACCGGGCAATCATGTGGTAGTCCTGCGAATGAATCGTTGGAGATGAATTGAATGAATTGCGACTTGAGCTCGAAGTGCTGAGCTGTTATAGGTGGTCTTACGATGCTGGAAAGAAGTCCGGTAGTCGTATCAGGAATACCGTACTCCAAAAGGGATTTCGTTCCTTCTTCTACCATGTTTCTCCTACGTCGATTTCTTGTTCTCCTTCTTCTTATAGTTGCCTCGATCTCAGAGTCAAATGGTTCAAGATCTTCTGAACCTGAGCGTCGTGTGGGCATGCACAAGAAGACTAGAGAAAAGTATCAAAAGCACAAGAGAAAATAGCCGAAGCAACAAAATAAACCTAGCAAAAACGAATCACAAATAATCAAATGAAACCGTTAGTCCTCGGCAACGGCGCCAATTGATAGGCGGTCACACACCTAGCAAAAATAACTTAACTAACCACTACTATGTAGACAGGCAAGTAAGGGTCGAATCCCAAGAGACTAAGGTTCAACTAATTAATTAGACTCAAATTCTTACTAGGCAATAATCAACAATGATCAAATAACTAAAGAACTAATGTATGGAAAATCGAAAATAAACTAAGGAATATGATAATCAAATAATTAAAACATCCAAGATCTAGTATCACCACAATTACGCTTGATGCAATTATATTTCTACCCCTAACATATGATTCCAATTGAACGGGGAAAAGTAAACCCTAATCAATACCAAGGACCTCTCTCGAGTATCAATGGCTTCCCTAACATACAATCAAGCCTATTCTCATGGTATCATGCACATTAGAGACATTAAACACATTACTCTAACTTCCCAATTATCAACCCAACTATTCTATGTTGAAAATCAAACCCTAAATTAATCTACTCAAATCCGTTTAAACCCAACTCTCGCTGTGATAGAAACAATGGAATAATCACAATACTAAAATTATGTCTAACCTAGTATTGGCATAATCACAATCAATTTAGCATAGCAATTGCAAAAGTCATTAGAGAATTTAAAGATTTAATTCATGCATCAATCATAACTGGGCTACCCTAGATCTTGGAATAGGAAATCTACTCACTCATAATGGAATAAACAATAACAAAAATAATTAAGGAAAACATAATTAAGAAATAAGAGATGAAAAGAAAATACCAAATCTTGAATTAAATTGAAGGCGGAAAGTGTAAATCTTGAATCTTGAATTATAATAGCAAAGAAAATAAATGGAGAGAATAATTTCTTAACAACGTAAAACTAATGAATAATAAAAACTTAATCCCCAAATAAAACTTTACTTAGTGTATTTATACTCCTAGAAAAACAAGAAAACGATTAAATACTTAGCGCACAATCTTCCCAGGACGTGCCTCCTCATAGGCACGGACGTGCCTCTGAGCGAATGAAAACTTCTTCGGCTTCTGACTTCCAGGCACGGACGTGCCTGCGCTGCTCTTTGGTTACGGCTGTAGGCACGGACGTGCCTAGGTGAGACACGGACGTGCCTCCTGACGAGTGCTGAACTGCAGTCTTGGGCACGGACGTGCCCCTGCTAGGCACGGACGTGCCTAGTGTCGAAGCAATTTGATGAGTATACTGACTTGGAGGCACGGACGTGCCTCACGTGCCTAGCTCCAAAAAGCCCTAAATCGTTCTTTCTTCAATCATCAAACTTCGTGAAGGTTCATGGGCCTCGGTTTTAGCTTCGTGACTTCGTAAAACATCCAAATTAGCTCCGTTAAGCCTGAAATACATCAAAAACAACGAAACTACCCATAAAAGCATCGAATCATCGAAACTAAACCAAATTGCACCAAATTAGACTAAAACACTCGACTAAGCTAATGAAATCAACTAAAAATAAGCTAATAAATATGCACAAAACACGACTTATCATCCAACCACGATCCTTCTCCATTTAGTAAATTGTCTCTAAACATAACAACATATTATGAATAATGTATAATTGCTACATATATTATGTAAATCAAATTCAAACACACTCCATGTATATACCATTCATATAGTAAAAAAATGCATGCTTCCAAAGGGTCCTTATCACTCCAACCTAACCCATCCTTGAACATCTAATCTCACTAGTGAATGTATGTCGACTTTCCAATTTTAAGGAAAATCCGGTAGCATTTCCCCCCAGTTCTCCAAGTACACGATGTAGGTAATTACTTACCCACATATGTACCAAGAGAACATGGTGAGGAAATGGTTAGCCAAGATGTTCCTTTAAATCGAATAAAAAAGACATACATTCACCACCTAAGTGAGAGTAAACGTTCAAGAACAGTCCCACCCGGGGACTATTCAAGACTTTCTCCTAATGATAAAGCCTTGAACGGGTATCTAGGCATATGATGATGCAAGCATTTTATATATTGTTGTATTTATTTGTCATTAAACAATACACAAGTTGTAATAGCATGAAAAAACTTTTATTAAATGGATAAAGAGAAAGAAATATAGCTTAGTAAAGTTTATAATTCATACCAATATAGTAAGTACAATGGATGTACTCTTTCTAACTTCCCACTTGAGCTAAATATGTAGTCTTCAAGCTAAACTTGTGCTTCACATATGAATCTATAAAAAAACAAAAAGAAAAAACAAACAAAAAACAAAAGTTAGTAATTAATTAATACCTACATACATTGCTAAAGTATAACACATCATTAATCAAACTAACAATTGCTAATCACTAATTTATTTAAACTTTAGAGTAATTAATGTAACTTCACTAATTTATTCACTAAATTATAACACAATTGATAATCACTAATTCAACCACATTATATTTTACATACCACAATTCAACTAACTAACAAAGTTACTAATCTCTAATTTATTCAAAATTTCCCATTAAACCACCTAAAATTCACAAAAAGAAACATATAATATAGACAATTTAGGCAAAAGGAAGGCAGTTAGGCAGCAAGGTAGTCAGGCAGCAAGGTAGTTAGGCAGCAATTCAACAAATGCAATTAGACAAAAACTGAAAGACAACATTCACAATTAGTCAATTAGACAATTTCGACAACATTCACAATTAGACACTTTCGACAACATTCACAAATCACAATTCGACAATTTCGACAGCAATGAAAGACAACATTCACAATCACAGGAATTCACAGCAAGCCAGCAATAGGCATTAAAGGAAATCGGAAAAGCAAGCTCACCAGACACCAGGTCGACTGTTCGAGGTCGTGCCGCAATGACAAGACATCCGTTGTGAATGTACACATTATCACCTTCTAATCGACTTCTGCAATAAATCGACGATAACCCACGACAATAAGTCAAGAACAATGTACAGATTACACTAAATACAAAACATGAGAACAATGTAGTACATATTAGCTACCTCAAGAACAACCTCCATTAATAAACACTCTAAAACAATAGACATTCCGCAATTCAAGTTTTCAACACTTCAACAATCAACAATCAGCTGTGGTGGAAGGGGCTTTGTTACAGGTGGTGGCAGTGGTTGAGGGGGAGCCGTGCGCGCAGGTGAGAAAGCTTACAAGAACCCTATATTACAAGAACCCTAAAATTACTGTACTGAAAATCAAATCAACGACAAACCCTAGATTGCGAAATTAGAACTCGATAATTTAAAAAGGACAAAAGAAAAATCTTACCTTGAAGCTGCTTCAATGGAGGTGAGAAAGCTCAGAATCCGCTTCAATGGAGAATTAAGAGCACGCGCTTCAATGGAGGAGAGATATGGAGAGAGAAGGAGGTGCAGCGTAAAAGTGAAAAGCTCCAAAGGAAGAAAAAAGAAAACTTCGGAGGTGGTGAAAATTTCGGAGGGAAAACAAAAATGAAAAAAGCAGGGGGAAAGATAGAAGAAGAAGAGAAGCCATCCATTTTTTTTTTTAATTCGCACCGTTTGAACCGGTGCTAATAACAACATTTCGCACCGGTTTGGTTTGAACCGGTGCGATTACTCTTTCCCTCTTTTTTTTTTTTTTTAATTCGCATCGGTTTGGTTTGAACCGGTGCGAATTCCTATTTCCCTCAATCCCGCCTATTTTTTTTGGCACCGATTTTTAAAAAACCGGTGCTCATTTCTGTTTTTCTACTAGTGTCTATACACTTGATTATAGGGTAATAATATATGTAGGGCTACATTATGTTATTTGGACTCTTCATTTTATCTCAAGTACCCGTGTCAAACTCTTGACACTCGAACATGGGTATGACAATTGGACCTTTCGTTTTAGTTCAATATCAT